TTAAGAGATTAAAACTGAACGCAACCAACCACGAGAAAGCAATGCATGCAAATAAACAATGTTAAGAATGCGAAGGAAGGAGGTGATAATTGCAAATACATCAGAGATTAATGACGTGAGATACTATGAACAACTTCATATTGAGTGAATTTGAAAACTTTAGTGAAAATAGGCAAATTCTCAGAAAAATATTATTAAAAACTGACCCAAGTAAAAACAGAAAACACAAATTATTAGAGAAACTGAATACGTAGAGAGATTTTTACTACAACGGATCACGAGGCCCCCAAAACTTTACAGAAACTTTCTGTCAAAAGGAAGCAATCATTGCAGTCTTATATAAGCACCTCTAGGGAATGGCAAAAAGAGGAAATATTACCCAGCTTATTTTATAAAGCTAGAATAACTTGATACCAAAACAAATAGCACTAACTAAGTAGAAAATTATATATCAATCTCACTCATTCATGCAGGTTAAAAAATCCTAAGCAAGAATAAGTCCAACCAAATCTTGCACATGAATGTTCACAGCATCATTTTTCATAATGGCCAACAAGTGAAAGCAACCGAAATGTTCACCAAATGATGAATGGGTAAATAAAATGTGGTATGGCTACACAGTGGAATGTTATGCAGCCATACAATGAAATCAGATCCATGAAACAACAAGGATGAACCTGGAAAACAATATGCTGAGTGAAAGAAGCCAGTCACAAAAGACCACTCTTTGGGATTTCTGGACCCAATTCCAGGATGTGTGTGTGTTGGTTGGGGTGGGTTCCCACATAACACCAAGCAATTCTCGGACACCGGCAGGGTGTCCAAGGATTCAACTCAATTCTGACACTTTCTACCGGGAGATAGCATCAGATTCCACAGGTTAAGGGTTCAGTCCTACAAGACTGCCCACCCCTTCCAACTTCAGCTGCTGGTCACAATCCCAGGGTGTTATCTGTGCTTCTGACTGACTGGCTACAGATTGGAGGTTCCCACGTCCCCCTCCTTGGGTTTGGCTCATTTGCTAGGGCAGCTCACAGAATTCAGGGAAGCACTTACTTACGTTTACTAGTTTATTATAAAAGGTTATGATAAAGGATACAGATGAACATCCAGATGGAAGAGATGCACAGGGCGAGGCATGAGGAAAGGGCCCAGAGCTTCCACGCCATCACCAGGGGCCACTCTCCCAGCACCTCCAGGTGTTCACCAACCGAGAAGCTCTCTGAACCCAGTCCTCTTGGGTTTTATGGAGGCTTCATTATACAGTATGACTGGTTAAATCATTGGCCGTTGGTGACTGAGTCAAGCTCCAGCACCTCCCCACTCCCCGGAGATCGGGTGGGAGCTGGGGAGTGGGACTGAAATTTCCAAGCTTCTGATCACATGGTTGGTTCTCCTCGCAAGTAGGAGGCACGTTGTTAGGTGCCACCTCATTCCTATAATAAGAGACATCTCTGTCATTCTCAACACTTAGGAAATTCGAAGGGTTTGGGGAGCTGTGACCCAGGAATCGTGGACTGAAGACCAGCTATATATGAGAAATAAATATTTGGTCATCTGAATGACCAAATATATATTGCTTGTAAATCACAGTATCACAACCACATATTGTATGATTCCATTTGTACGACATGTCTAGAATAGCAAATCTATAGAGACAGAAATTAGATTAGTGGTGGTTGCCTAGAGCTTGGGGAGATAGTGGGACTAGGGGATGATGGCTAAGGGGTGGAGGATTTCGTTTTGGGGTGATGAAAATATTCTAAAATTGCGGTGATGATTGCACAAATATGTGAATAGCCTAAGCACCACCGAACTGTACACTTTAAGTGAGAGAATTGCATGGTATGGAACTATATATCTCAGTAAAGCTGTTTACAAAAGAAATCCTAAAGATTTTAGTAAAATAAGTTCAGCACTTTATAAAACTGAAAATATGCATGAACGGGCTTCCCTGGTGGCACAGTGGTTAAGAATCTGCCTGCCAATGCAGGGGACACGGGTTCACGCAGATCGAGCTCGACCAGATTCAAACTGGTCCGGGAAGATCCCACATGCCACGGAGAAACGAAGCCTGTGCACCGCAACTACTGAGCCTGCGCTCTAGAGCCCGCGAGCCACAACTACACAGCCCACAAGCCACAACTTCTGATCCCGCGTGCCACAACTACTGAGCCGGTGTGCCACAACTGCTGAAGCCCACGCTCCTAGAGCCCGTGCTCCGCAACAAGAGAAGCCCCTGCTCGCCTCAACTAGAGAAAGCCCGCACGCAGCGATGGAGACCCAACGCAGCCAAAAATAAATAAGTTAATTAATTAATTTTAAAAATATGCACGAACAAGTCAGAATTATTCCAGGTATGCAACATGGTTTTAACATTTGAGAATCTGTTCATGGGCATCTCGGTAAAGACGGCATATTGACCACAGACTTCTGTTTTCCCTCCATCCCAAACCATCCTCTAAAATCACAGTAAGGGATTTGTTAAAGGCATAAACCCACACAGCTGGGAAGCACTGAAGAAGACAACACGGTAACGCATTGGAAACTGGAAAGCAGGTGGATTTGTAGTGAATGATTGATCAGACCCAAGAGAGTTGAATCCTAAATACACTGTGGGGGAAGGCAAGATCCCCACTACCCGGGGGCTGACCACTGTGACTTCCCCTCTCCTACTCCACACAAAAGATGAAGTGTGGTGTCTGGAGAGAGTAAAACAAGGGGTCTCTGCCCTGCGGGATGCTAGACACATCTGACCGAGAATACTAGGCTAAAAACAACGTAAGTAAATATGCACAATAGATACGCGAGCCTTTCCCAAACCCTTTTTCAGCGGCTCTCTTCCAGAATGTTGACAACCAGACCTTTACAATTGGGTCTAGAGATTTGAAGACAGTTCTCTGATCTATCTGAGCAGCCCAAGAGGCAAGACGTGGGTCCTAATATTAGGGGCTCCCCAAGAAAATCGTCCAGCAAGGTCACCTTGCAGTGAACCCCACAGCTGACAGGCACCACCCATGTAGTCGGAGCTTCAGATCAGCGTGTTGGTCTTTCACTCTTAAATATGAGCAGACAGCCAGTGATTTTATCAGACATCTCAGGGAAGCTCTAGCATAAAGACAGAAACCAAACAAACGGATTGGAGGAAATGAAAACTATGCCAGAAGGAGAAACATTTTCTTTTAAATCTATTGTTACAGGTATTCCGTGAGAGATGAGCTGTTACAACCATAAATTAAAGGAATCTATCAAGTCAGTCAAGCACATTAACATGTTAAAGGAGAAAAGTGATGTGATTGTCTCAGATGCAGCAAAAATATTCAGTAGAACTGACCAACTATTCACATATGGGAACATGATATGTGAACAGAGGCTGCATTACTGGGGAAAGGAGGGTTGCCCATGTGGGGTGCAAACAGAACAAAAGGGAATTAATCGTATCCCTGGGTCACCACCACATGTTAAAATCAGTTGAGGCTAGATTATTACTTAAATGTAAAGGACAAAACTTGATAACTTAGAAGACGTGGGAAAACAAATTACAACCTCAGCACAGGAAGAATTCTTTAAACAAAATACAAGAGCAAACTACTCAGGAAAATATTGATATATTACATTGAAAGCGAGAACAGTTCTTAATTTTAAAAATACTAAGAAAAACCCACTGTAGACTGTGATGGGCTATTAGCAACACACATAACCAACAAATTATTAGTCTCTTAGACATGTGAGGAAAATCAGAAAAATACAAGCACTTCAGTATAAAAATTAGCAAAAGAAAAACAAACCTAAAAACAGATAATTCACAGAAGAGAAAAAAATAAATGACCCGTAGACATATGAAAGGATGGCCAATTAATTAAATTATCAAGGGCGTGGAAAATCAAATCACAGTAAAATACCATGTTCCTCATATCAGGCTGGTGATAGTCAAGTTGAAGGGGCCCACATCCCAGGGACACACCCTAGAAATTCTTCCACAGGTGTGTGAATGCTCACAGCAGCATTGGTTGTAAGAACCTCCAAACTGGAAACAACTCAAATGTCTGTTGTTGGTGGAACAGTTAAATAAATTATGTAATGGAATCGTGTATGCGGATGAAAATGAATGAAACGGGGCATTGACATGGGTGAATGTGAAGTATTTAAATGGAGTGCAAATTGAAGTCGCCACAAATGCATACAATACGGTTCTATTGAGAAAAGTTCAAAACAGGCAAAACAAAACAGTATGTCACTTAAGGACACTCACACATTCATAAAACCATCTTTAAAAAGAAAAGTGGTAAAAACACCAAGTTCAAGATAGCACTCACCCCCTTCGGGGGGCAAGAAGGCAGCAGTAGGGCTTCCCTGGTGGTGCAGTGGTTGAGAGTCCGCCTGCCGATGCAGGGGACGCGGGTTCGTGCCCCGGTCCGGGAAGGTCCCACATGCCGCGGAGCGGCTGGGCCCGTGAGCCGTGGCCGCTGGGCCTGCGCGTCCGGAGCCTGTGCTCCACAACGGGAGAGGCCACAACAGTGAGAGGCCCGCGTACCGCCCAAAAAAAAAAAAAAAGGCGGCAGCAGTAGAACGCAGCCCTCGGCACGTGCCGTGTGTGTCATGTAGCGGTGGTATACTCCGAAGCTGGATGGTGATGCCATGGGTGTGTGTTGCACACGTTATCACTGTTTGTATTGTATAAAGTATCTTTAAATGCATTTGGGATGTCTTCACTAAAGCTTTCATAAGTGTGATTGACCTTTTCAGGATTTAAAGTCTCTAAGGTATCATGGGCCTGTCAGATCCGTAAAATGATTCCTTCTGCTTCAATGGTGAATGAGGGCATAGCTTCGTGTGAAGGCCAAACGGGCTGTATTGTATTTCAAAGCCAGCTCTCCTTCCGAGGTGCAGGCTGAGCTGCACAGGACTCATCGGGCCGCTGTTGTCCGACGGCAGCTGCTCGTCCCCTGGGCAGCCCGGCCAGAAGTCGGTAACCCGCATCCTGTGACGCTGGTTTCTAGGAGGAGCACGGAGAAGCCAACTTGCTGAGCAGTGGAGCTCTGGCGTGGACAAGGAAATTCAGCCTGGACTATTTAGCCCTGGACTTCAACTCAGCGCCACCAGCCCCTGTGCAGCAGGTAGGAAGTACTCTGCGTCTGAGAATTCCCAGGAGGTTCCATTTCGGTTTGGATTGTGTTTGGATGATTCCACCATGGATGTTCTCTTTGCAAAGTCTTAAACCTACAGACACATACAGTGAAGAATCTTAAAATCAGCCCTAATTCTGCCTCCCAGAAGTCCTGGTGTATTTCCCCCAGGGGTGTGTTCTTTGCATGTCTATGTGTGTAAATGTATGTAGTTATTCGTGCTCTTCAAAACTTGGACCATAAGGTTTGTTGAGAAATTGCTCTGGCAGAGATGAGGGTGGGGTAAAGTGTAGTCCAGGCATAGGAAGGGCCTGCTGAGGGAAGAAGTAACAGCCCCACTTGGCTAGACTCTGGGGAGTGGTGACGCGAGCTCTCTGTTGCCTTTGAAACAGCTCCGTAAAGGGCCTCAAGTGCCAGGTTGGGCAGTTTTGGCTCCCTTGAGTAGTATTCTTGTCTGGAGAGTGGTCAGCAGAAATAATGCCTATGTTGAAGCCTGTCATGAGGATTAAGTGAGTTAATCCATGTAAGGGACCTTAGCCATTGACTGTTGTCACTCACTGCACAGGGGAAGCCATGGAATGAATGGCTGGTGAGCAGTGGACGACAGCTAAATAGTTTTTAGCACGGGATGGTCATAGTCTAGACTGCGCTAACAATATATTGTTTGATGAGAAAAATCACTTGCTGAACAGAATATACAGTATAATTTCATTTTGTATGTGTGGAGAAAAAAAGAGTCTGGGAGGCTTCCCTTCCCTTTTGCTGAATGAGCTCCCACTTCTCCTTTACCTTTCATTTCATTCCAGAAACCTAAAATGATACTCCAGCAAAGCTGGTCAGCAGGATAGACAGATAAGCCCAGACGGTGCATTAGCCAGTTCTGGTCGGCTGTGCAGTGAAGACAAGGCCCAAATCTCTGTGGCTTTTGACCGCAAAGGCTTCTCAGTTGTTGCCTGTGGGACAGTCCATCACGGTCCCCACATGAGGCATGCCGGTGTCCGGGCAGGGGAAAAAGGGAGAGTGCAGGATCACAGGACGCCTGTCTCCTCTTTAGGAGGGGCACCCGTCACCCCACTCATTATATTGGCCAAGGCGAGTCAGCTGGCTAGAGCTAAGTTGAAGGGAGCAGACGCGAGGAGAGATTTACACACACTCACACGCAGCGTGACATTTCTGCAAGTGACGACCCAGGAGGGAGGGCCAGCCAATACTTGACGCTGTAATCCACCAGAGACTGACTGACATTGTGCTGAATTTTTCAATTTGATGGAATGAAACCCTCTTTCTTCTCCCCCTTCAGAAACTTCTCTTTTCAGAGGAGCAAAGAGTAGACTACGTCCAAGTGGATGAGCAGAAGACGCAAGCTCTCCAGAGCACCAAGCAGGAGTGGACGGACGAGAGGCAATCCAAGGTGTAACGGGGCTTGGCTGCGGGCAGGGGGCTCAGAGGGAGGCCAGCCCTTGTCACCGGCCACACTGGCCCCTGCCGAGCCTTAGGCCGGTGGACCGGGATGTAGAAAACTCCATTCAGGCAGGGTAGGAACAGTCAAAGCAAAAGTGGTGTTAGAAATCTTCTCCAGTGGAGCCTTTGACGTGCAGATTGGAGCCAACAGGATGACATCTTTTGACTCCAACGCCTGAAGTTTTGATCTCTCTCCTGTGCTTCCACTGGAGTCATAAATGATCCTAGGAGAGACACACCTGGACACCATCCTGTCCCCACCCCTGAAGGCACAGTGCAAGACACCAAGCCTAGTGATGGTGGCAGAAGGACAATGCGAGTGACAGGAGCCTTGAGTGCCGAGGTCCGTGATGAGCATATCAGATGACGCCGGTGGCTCTAAGGGCAGCGTGCTTGAGCAGCCACCTGTGGCTGGGTGTCCCATTGCTGTTGGCTTTCTCCCGGCATGCTTTCACACGCATAGTCTCATCTCTTCCCCTCAAAGACCTCGGAAGCTAGGCTTGGCGGAGATCACTGCTCCCACTTTGAGGGAAACAATACCGAGAACCAGAGAGGGGAACGCTTGACCCAAGACGACTCGTGGAGTGAGACAGCAAGTCAGGCTCCTTCCGCCGTCCAATGCTGCCTCAATCAGGGCGACTTCGGAGACACGTGGGAAGCAACGTGCGAACGTGGGATGGCTCATCCTCTCCTCTCCCTTTCATAGAATCTTGAGCAGGTGCTTTTACACTTGAAAGGTATATGCCTGTCGAGCCAGGGTTTCTTCGTATGGTGCTCAAACAGGGCACTCTAACACAATCAGCGGTTACCATTAGAGACACCTCCCAACAGTCAGTGTGAAATGCGTTCTTGGTTCACACGGTCCCCTTGCCATGCGTGTCCCGTGAGCTGGCTAATGCTGGCAGAAGAATCTTTGCCACCTCGGGGAAAGCTGTCCCTGGCCATCCTGTGCTGGACTCAAGCTTCTGAGTGATATAGTTCTGATCCAAAACAAAACCAAAAAACAAACCAAACACAAGTGACTTCAAGTCTCAGGTTTCCTGGCTAATTTCCCCTCCTGCTTTCGTGGCGACTAGCCCCTGAGACCGCACACATTCCCAGCATGCCATGAGGGCATCTTGTCACCCCTTCCTTTGTGGGGCACTGGGGTTCAGGGGACGCAGACAACAGGCTCGACTGGGCTCGGAGTTTTATGTAACGCCCTTTGCCGATCCTTCTGAGTGCCTGCGGCCAGAAGACAAGCCTCAACAACCGGGTAGTAAGCAGGTTCCAGCCCACTGTTCTGCCACGGTGTCTTATATACGAGGATGGATCAAATAGGCGGGCAGGTCTGCAGCAGCCAGGGTGAGGCAGGGCAACTGTAGCCTTTGCTGCAGGGTTTCGGGGTTTCGAACTGCTCCAAAGGTAAGTACCAAAATCTTGGTTTTTCAGACCATAAAAGAAGTAATTTTGATGTTCAAAGCAGCACGGTCTGGTGACATCATTTTCTTCCCAGAGCAAAGATGGGGGCCAATTGCCAAGGGCTTTAACTAAGTCCTTGGTGAGTCTGGACGGAGCCATGAGAGGGCTCCCTGAGCCCGTGGGCTGCTCCATGGCCAGAGCCTGTGAGGGGCTGCCTTCTGCCTTCTGTGACTTGCAGGGAGTCACAGAGCCTCAGGCAAGAATCCAGGGCTACAGACTGCCAGTTCCCATAGATGGTGGCTTCCTTATGTGTGGGCCACCTGTGTTTAGCTCATAGATTGCCTGACAAAGGCCAGTGCAGAAAAATTGTACATCCAAGTGTCAAGAACCTCACCAGATGGAAGATAGATTGGAATAGTAAATGCAGCTGAAATTTTGTCGGCAGTGAAATGTCATCCAGTTGACCAAAAAACAAAAATCTGTTTCTACAAGACATTTCCAGGGACATACTTACTGCACGAAACAATAGACACTTGAGCAGTGTGACTTGTTTGGAAGTGATTAGGGATTTAAAGAAATACGACTTCACCCTCATTTCCAGGGTGTATGGGATGATGTCTTGCTTTGATAAAACTGCTAATGGATGGCTACACAAAGGCATAATGATTCAGGGACACAAAATGCAGGTAGTTTTTGAGCTGACGGCAGCATATGCTCCTGAGAAGGGTACCGCAAATCACAGCAATGCTGGCCAAATCTTGTTTTCCGGCAGAGATAATCCACGTGTAATAGAGGGCTATGATTCTGATGGGGTCTGAGGGATTTTTGTGTTTTTTTTTTTTAACAGAAATGATCCCAGATACCACTCCAAGTCAAGTACACATGGCATGTCTGTACACTGTGCAGAGTACACCTTTCTAGAAGATTTGGGAATCAACATAACAGGACAGTGCAGCAATTAATCTCGCATTATTTTCTGAATCTCCTTTTTGCTTTGTTTCCTTCTGTCTCCTTTCATGAGGAAATACTTCCAGATCAGGCGTTTTGTCATACAGAAAGGGGGACCGAAGGGTCTCAAGCCTAAGTCCACAGGCCCAGGAATGTTGGGAGTTAAGCTTTCCTTGGGGAGGGAGGAGCCCTGAGGCCCAGCACACAGCCTGGCTACAAGGGCATGGTGTGACCCTGGGGACTCAATGTCCCGGCCACTTCACCATGCAGCACGCAGCAGCTGAATCGTGGCCATTGGGTCCAGGTTGAGACTGATGGCTCCCCTTAGGCCTGGCTTCCCCCTCTCAAGGCCTCCTCCTAGGTCCCCGTTCAAACCACCTTTGTATCCACAGCCGTGCAGATTTTTAACAATTCACTATGTTTTTACTGTTTCATGTCTGGCATTAATAAAAGAGGAATCGTGACCTAAGTGCCCTCTTATTTAAGTGATGACATCTGAAAAACTACGGGACACGTTTTGAAACCTGAACAAGTGGAAATAGACTTCATTGCCATTTTCAAATACAACAGACTTAACCTGACGCACATGGAATGACCTACATCCATGTTGCTTCTGCTCAGCCAAACCACGTCCTTGACATCTGGGTCAGTAGCTATAGCGTCGATAATTGGCGGTACAGTTACCGGCTCTGCCAGATACCCCGTATAACACAACCCTTGTCATTACTGACGCTAAAAAAGCAACAGCGCCCAGCTTGCTTCTCCCCAGAGGGGGCCTCTTGTGCCACCACCTCCCTTTTCCCTATGGCTGAGACTCCCCGTTGCCCTGGCTGCCAGGTCAGCAGCCTCTCTAGGCCACGATGTGAGGCAGAGGCAACCACAATAGCAGGGGCTCAGGTCTGGGGGAAACAGGCCAAAAGCAGAGACCCTACAGCCAACAGGAGTCCTGGTGCTGAGAGAAAGGAGAAGCCACGTGAAATTCCTCACCCTGGTCACGTACGAGGCTGATTACCATGAACGCTTTTTCCTGACACACACTCCAGGCCGAGCCCGTGACCTAAAGGAGCGTAGGTCGGCCCACAAGGCTAACCTCAGAAGCAGGGGCCGGGAAACCTGACCTAAAGGTCTCTGAGCCCCAGGCCCCTCGTGCTCTGGCCCCTTTACTTCACCAGACAGCTCCCTACGTTTCCAGCTTTCTACTTCTTTATTTTCCTTGATCTTAAATTGCATTTATTATTATCATTTCCTTATTTTAATTGTCATTTGTTTTTTAAATTTAGTTTTTATTTTCTGCAACTGAGAGAGAGGCAGTGGTGCAGGCTGGGGCAGGGGGCCCGATGGGAGACAGCAGAGCTGAGATGCAGACTCCCCGCCACGGGCACTTCACCGATGGCAGAGGGGGGCTGGAGAGCCTCGGGGACAATCAAGGCTGCCAGGTCACTGGAGCCCCACGAGGATGATAACGAACCTGACCCCACTCTGCCGCCACGTACAGATATCGGTTCCCGGGGGAGCTCCATGTGGAAGGCACAACAATCCATGGGACGCGCCCCCTCTGCCTTACCAGAGCCATTTGGCTTCCATCCAGCACTGTTGTTCCGGTCTTTGTTTCATGGTCAAAACCTCCATTTCAATGAGTTTTATCTTTTGTTTACCTTTGTATAAACAAACGCATCCTAACTGTTTTACATCTGTCTTGAAATTTTAAATCATTTCCATGTTTTCGTTCTTCAACGTGAGACTACTCTATGGCGGTAGAAGTCAGAATAGTGGTTTACCTCTATGGGGAAGAGGCAGGAAATCAAAAGTCAGTTTGTAAATTACACTGCATCATAGAAGGCGATGAGTGGTATTACGGAAAAGAAGAGCAGGAAGAGGATGGGCTGCGCACTGGGCTGTTGGTGGCCACAGGACGAAGCAGAGTGAGAAGATGAGATCTGGGCAGACTCGAAGGAGATGAGAGAGTCAGCCAGGTGCTGTATGTGAGAGCACATTCAAGGCAGGGAGAACAGACTGTGCAAAAGCCCTAAGTCAGCAGAAAACCTGGAATATTGAGGGCACAGGCAAGAGGCCAGCGTGGCCGGCGTGGAGTGAGCAAGAGAGAGCAGAGGAGGTAAGAGAGGCAATGGGGGATTCACAGATTAGAATGTCGGGACTTGCTGGCCATTACAAGGACCTCTGGCTTATATTCTGCGTGAGAATGGAGCCCGTGAAGGGAATTAGGCAGGGGAGATGTGATCTGACTTACATTTTGAAAGGCAGGATCACTGTAGCCACCAGAGCTGCTGCGTGCCGGCAGGGGAGATGCTCCATCATCACCGTCATCGCCATGCCCACCGCCACCATCCCCAGCACCAGCATCTCCCTCCCTCCAGCCCATGCTGCCAGAGCTCTCTGGGTTCTGTGCCGGCAGACTCCGTGCACGCACATGCAGGAACAGGGACCGGATCTCCCCCGCACTGGCTTGAAAGAATCCCCTAAATGCAGCCAAAATATATGAAACACAGGCTGTGAAGAAACTGGGCCTCAGGTGAGGGAGGACCGTCAGGGATCTCTGGGACCTGAGACCCCGAAGAGGTGAGCCGTGCAGCTGCCCCAGCCTGCTGT